GCACATGCTCAACAGGAACAGAATATACGCGCAGCTTCTATAAAAACTGGAAATCTTCTGTCCGTTCCGTTTCAGGTTTCTGCGTTCATCGATAGTCTACGTTAGATAGAAGTTATTTGGGCATCTTTCGTGTGCGGCGTGACAGAGACAAGTGACAGCATGTCGCGGGTGTTCATTCACATGTTTGTTTGTAGTCCTATTTATCGGTGTGGTAAAACAAACCACAACCACGCAAGTTTATTACTTAATTTATTGGACAACAAGTAACATCTCTGCAAAAAAACACTAAAACTAAATCCGCTTGGCCTTTTTAACCGAAATCAATGCGATTTCTGATATTTGAATTCACCTGAATTTCCTGAACGCAAAAAAATTCTCCGTTATCTGAAAAGGTATAGTCAACATTTTCTGGCTTATTTTAATATTAATTTATAGTAAAACTCCGAAAAAACATGAGGTTTCGATGCGCGGCTTTGAATGGCGTACAAAATTCATTGGATATCACCAGACATTATACTTGGCTCACGTTGACCTACCTTTTCCTTCAATACACCGATCTGGAGTGAACTCTTTTCCTAGTAAACAGCCTTTTGCGCCTCAAATCAATTCCATAGGGAAAAGTAACGACCTCAAGTATGTGTTTAAATTCCTCCTCAAAGTTTGATCTTCGTAATGAATTAGGAAAGCTACTGTGGCAGATAGGCGTACACCGATCGGTTTGAGGACACACTTGTCCGTCCATGGTGCCTTTGGAGTTGGGTATGACTAGCTGTCGACGGCTAATAGGCCAGCAATGGCCATCCTAGTCTCCCTGGTCTTTTTCGGTAATGTCCTGCCTATAATCTACTATGTATAGTTTAGTCGCATCGCGCATCATTTAATCGAAAAGAAATGACCATCAAATACACAGTAAGGTACGGCCTGGGACACCGTAAAGAACTTATCGGCATGAGCGAATTCGTTTTTTTACGGCATGACAAGACGGCAGGAGGTAAGAAGTACGAAGCGTTGTAACGTGCGTGCTTAGGCCTCTCTTTATATGTGCTCATTACACGAAGGATAAAAAAGGACTCACAATAGTACCATAAAGAGCACAAATAGCGTGCAGAAAGTCAAGACAATTTCATTGATCTTTGGACTTTGAACCATCGCAGAGCAGAATCCTTTCAGTTTAGTTTACTGTCTGTACATCTTTGGTCTATAAAGTCTGCAGCCTCCGAGGCAACTTAAAAACTCATAAAAACAACGTAAACAATTATCGTTTTTCGTTGTAGTGATTTTGTTTGCACGGTTTGGCTTACTAGGGCTTGTGTCCTTCAAAGGACTGGTCAATTTTTGCCATATGAAAACAATCGGTTCCAAGATCCCTTCAGGCATGTAAGTTTAAGTACGATCGGCGAAGCACAAATATGTTCAATTAAGAGAAAAGCTAATATTTATTACGCATAATTTATCAACCCCGATAAGTGATGGGATAAACGGATACAAGCCCAGCACACATGCTTCCGAGCATAAAACATTCTTTGGGAGAAGGTGATTATTGACTTCGACGTCACATTATGCAAATGACTTTATTTAAATATCCTCCAAGTCTGACAAAATAAAGTTAGTTAAGCCCGTAAAGGCCGGTGGTTAGCTAACAATTGCTGAGCGACTGAAATAATCGACGAACAAATTAAATTCACCTGCCAGAAATAGCTTCACTCTGGAATAAAAGGACAGCGCGCTGAAGGGTAATGGAAGAAGTAAAACTATATCTGTTGATATTCAAAACCCCGGGCAGAAACTGCCAACTTATCGATGTAGGCATTGTCTGTTATGGAACAAAAACAGATATAGCTAAAACAAAGACTACCCAGTAAAGAGACGCCGATGAAACCTGAGCGTTGCAGCGTTGTCGATCTATCCAATTAGTCTCACCAGTGAAAACCACTCGGTGTATGTGTGAATGGCACCTCTTTTAGCTAATTTACGGTGCCAGCCAGGGTTATAGCTAACCTAAGAGGGCATGTAGTAGGCTCAAGAGACCGCTCGGTCAACCTCTGGGGAGTAATATCCTTTAAGACCAATTCTGGACGACGAAGATGAAACGCCACCGAGAACTACATAGTTACGAACTTCAAATTATTGGGGTCTCATTTATTTGAACAATAAAGGCATCAGGTAGGCCAGACAGCTGACTATGGTCATTATTCAGTTCGGATAAACAACAGCCGCTCTATAGGTTGCAAAATGTAAATGTAACGCAATTAGGAGGGCAGGATCAGCAGTTGCTGAACCAACTTCTCTCCTCTTACCTTGAGGGCAGAAGTAGTTCTTCCGCACACCAGGTACTCCGTCTGTTGTTGGTTCCTCCTCGTTGAGTGGATTTGAAAGGAAGCATTGTTCGCCTGCTGGTAGAAGTTTATCCACTGCGTCCCCGCGATAAGTGCCATCCAGTTTGCATTGGATAAAAGCCGTGCGTAAGTAGGCGACCATGTGATGCAACTTAGCGTTGGATGCGGGGGAAAAGTGCTGCGGGCAAGTGTTACCTTCCACCAGGATGTGCAGTACGAGAGCTGGGTATTTTAAAGCAAGAGGTGTGACTACTTTATCAATATAGGTAGAACTTAAATATTCAAACAAACTTTTTGACAAATACCTTCTTTAGTCGCTGTGGCTTGTTCCACACTATCATCGTAGTAAATACACATGGAAGTATGATACCCGTACTCCAACAGCGTGGCCGTCATATTGGAAGGCCTCCAGGTGCCCATGGTGAATATTTTTCGGCGTGTGCCAGGAACAGCCGGACAACGATCGATAGAAACGAAGAGTGGCCTGTTAATGGAACTGCCGACATCGGTTCTACGCAATCGGCGTGCAGGAATAGAAACGATTGACGGCGGCCCAGGGTGATCCAAGTTCAACCAGACTTGTCTTCGTAACGCCTGTTGAGCTACGCTCGGCTGATAGGTTAGTGTGTACTTTGGGTACTCGACAGTCTTGGCCAAATGAGATCCGTTTGTACAACAAAGAGCCAGCCAAATAGATGAAGCTCCTTCCTGGCGAAATAGGCTAAACTTGCCTAGGTTTTTGAGCTGCACACGCATAAATGTTCGACGCATATCAAATCCTAAGGGGGATAATAAGAACGACATCTATGTTAAGACGGTCACATCCTAAGGAATTAGAAAAATCAATAAATAGTACAAGGACAAGGCAATAAATCGTGATTAATGAAGAAATCTTATAGATCTGCTTAAAACGTCACATTTGTGAAATTGGGGGCAAAACCTCAGTGGGACACAAGAGAGTGCAAAAATATTACAGTAAATGTACGATACGGTTGCTATGAAACCATGACTAATGCAACTCACAAATTCTGTGGCCGTCATATCGCGGGAATTTCGGTCCCATCTAACTTGTACGTGCAGTCAGGCCCCAACAAGTGTACCGCGATGCG